CGCCAGATAGGATATCAACATTGGTTCTTCATTGATGATGATGATGAGACTTTACCAGCATTGTCAATTATGAGCTCTTGGTGTCTTCTTATTTGCTGATGCAATTCTGCTGTTGGTTCGAGGTCACGACTATCTGGTCTTGTGCATATGATGCTGTATTGCTCATCTTCCTTGCACATAGCGATAGGGTAGCGGTGGCCATAGCCGCCATAGCTGATAGGAGTGCAGCGTGTATGCGTGTGTGTGTGTGTACAGCGTGATACGTGTGGGATATCCAGGGTGATCCTGTGGTGTGTGAACAGAGAGTTGTACAGGCTCTGTGCCGCTATAGCCATTTGAAGTGAACTTGTATCTGAACTGTGTTTTGGTTTCCATATCTCTGAGTTCTGAGTGGGTGCTTGTCGCCGGTTTGCTGCGCAACCTGTTTACAAAAACTTTACATGCATGAGAAGTGTGAATGAGAGCGAGTCTGATTGCAAATGGAAGAGTTTTTTAAGAAATGGTGTTGAAGCCATGGCTGTGCTGGCAACCGGCCGGTTGGACCCCCGGTGGTCCAACCGGAATTCCGGTTGGGTCCAAAAGTGGGTCAATTTTTTTTTATTTTTATTTTTGAAAACATTGTTGGACTGCGCTCACCGAGATCTCCCCGAATCCGCAAAGTTTCGTTTGGGGGGTTGGGGGGTTGGGGGGGGAGGGTATTTCAGGGGTTGAGGGTCGGGGGTTGGGGGGTTTATGGTGTAGCATATCAGGAAGTGAAATGCACCGAGAGCCTAAGATCTAGCAATGATGAAAGTGGCAACAACCGGCAGCACAGATGCAACATTCACAACATGCCAATGTGCACAATGCAAAGAGTAAACCAATGAGAAATCAACAACAACACATTTGTATCATCATCATGGGCTGGGAAGCAGCACAGCGGAAGTCTTAGTAACCAAAGGACACGAGGACAGACAAACATGAAAGAGGGAAACTTCGGAAGGGCAAGACATCAGAAAGATTGCCCTTCCGCTCACACATGGGGAGAGATCCATAGACATGCAAGAGAGATCTCCGAATGTCGCACACAGTTCGATCCCAATGTAGAGTACAAGTCCAATCCGAATGTCGTGTCCAATAAGGCAGAATGTCGTGTCCAAACAATGTCTGCAGTAACCTCTATCTCTACTCTGATGAAGAAGAAGAAGAAGAAGAAGAAGAAGAAGAAGAAGAAGAAGAAGCTCGGAGGAGTAGGAGGAGAAGAGAAGAAGAAGAAGAAGAAGAAGAAGAAGAAAGCTAGGCGCTTTCTGCACTTACCTGGCAGATGGCTGAACTGCAGGTACCGCGAAGCCAGCTATGGCGCTGGTACAGGTAAGTCCTCTTTCCTCTCTCTCTCTCTCTCTAACTAACTCCTCTAACTCTCTCTGGCGCTGGGCTCCTCCAGCGCTGCACTTAGTGCAGCAGCATCTCCCAAGAGCGCAGCTTCCCTCCAGCTAGCGCAGCAGAACAGCGCAGCGAAATAGCGCAGCCAAAAATAGCGCAGCAGCAGTTCTCCAAAATAGCGCAGCAGGTGGACCTCTGAACCAGCATAACGCTGGGATTTCTCCTCGTACCTTCTGTCCAGAACTGGGCGCTGGCCCAGCTTAAGTAGCGCTGGGCCAGACCCAGTGAGTCCACGGCCTCCGTTCTGGACCGTGTAGATCTAAACTTCGATCCACGGTCCAGATCGCAGGCTTCGAATCTGGGTTCAGTCCTTGGCCTAAAACGGCCTGCCTGGGTCCCTACCGGACGTCCAGGCCCTGCCCAGGACTGGGCCTGTTTGGTACCTGGTCCGATTCAGGGCCTGTGCGAATGCATCGGCCTGAACGTCGGTCCAGGTCCGAATGGTCCGAAATCTGTCCGGAAACAAAAAGAAGGTCCAAACGTTTTTTTTTAGAGGCTCAGCCTCTGGGCCTGAATCTGGCCCTGGCCCTAAAACGTGTACCTGGCCACAAAACGGACAACAGCACACACGTTAGAAAAACAGCAGCAATAAATAAATAAAAGAATATAAAAATAATATAAAGCTGGCGTTTTTCTGATGCAGGCCCAAGTAAAAATGCCATAGGGCCTTCAGGTTGAGGTGACGCGACCTGGGGGTCCTATTCCAACCTCGGGCCCCGTGAGGGGCCCGGGTGTAGGCTCTCAGCATGTAACATGCCCCCCTCCTTATGAAGATGAGCCGGGGCGAGGGCGAAGCCGCCGATCCGATGGTGGAATGTAGCGAGTATGGCGCGCAGCTGGAGTGCTCGGTGTAGTCTTCCCTTTGCTAAGATAACGTGAGAGAGCGGCGGGAGCTGTGGCCTGCAGTTCCGAACGCGTCAGCCAACGGTCAGCCTTGTGGCTGCAGTAGGAAAAGTGAAGTAGAAACTCCGTTTCTTTGTTGCCATGGCGCCGGTCGGTGATGATGTAGCCGGCCTCCTGAAATCCGTCCATGGAAGGAGGGTCTTGCGTNCTGGCCCTAAAACGTGTACCTGGCCACAAAACGGACAACAGCACACACGTTAGAAAAACAGCAGCAATAAATAAATAAAAGAATATAAAAATAATATAAAGCTGGCGTTTTTCTGATGCAGGCCCAAGTAAAAATGCCATAGGGCCTTCAGGTTGAGGTGACGCGACCTGGGGGTCCTATTCCAACCTCGGGCCCCGTGAGGGGCCCGGGTGTAGGCTCTCAGCATGTAACATGCCCCCCTCCTTATGAAGATGAGCCGGGGCGAGGGCGAAGCCGCCGATCCGATGGTGGAATGTAGCGAGTATGGCGCGCAGCTGGAGTGCTCGGTGTAGTCTTCCCTTTGCTAAGATAACGTGAGAGAGCGGCGGGAGCTGTGGCCTGCAGTTCCGAACGCGTCAGCCAACGGTCAGCCTTGTGGCTGCAGTAGGAAAAGTGAAGTAGAAACTCCGTTTCCTTGTTGCCATGGCGCCGGTCGGTGATGATGTAGCCGGCCTCCTGAAATCCGTCCATGGAAGGAGGGTCTTGCGTACGTCGACYGGGAAACTCGTCGGAYTCYGCYGAARCAAAAGGAGCGAGTTTGGAACAGTGGAACACCGTGTGCACGGGCAAGTGAGGTGGCACCGCGATGCGGAATGAAGGCCCCTCGGGATCATCACCAACTGCAGAGAGAATGCGCCAAGGCCCCATCCACTTGGGAAGGAGCTTGCGAGAGATGTCTTGCTCAAGGCTGAACTCCGCGGCGGAGACCCAAACCAGATCGCCGGTGCGAAACGGGCAAGGGAGACGATTGCGGTTGGCTTGACGGCTCATCCGTATTTGCGTCTTTGACATCTGATCCCGTGCCTTGACAAGAAGCTCTTGCATGCGACGAAGGAACGCAAAATGGTCGTCGCTCTCGGCTGTGCGTGGCAAAATGGCGTCCAGCGGCGATGAGATGGGTGAACCATGGTCAAACTCGAACGGCGACATCCCGATAGCCGGATGGATCAATGAGTTGTAAGCCAACTCGACGTCTGGCAAGCGCTCAACCCAATCAACCTGGTCGGGACGGATGAGAGTGCGTAGAAGGACTTGAGCGGTCTGATGCGCCCTTTCCGTTTGACCATCGGTTTGCGGGTGGCGAGCCGAACTCGGCTTCAAAGATGAGCCCCATCGTTTGACGAGGGCGACCCAAAAGTCGGAGAGAAAGCGAGTGTCCCGGTCGCAAACGATCTCCTTGGGGTAGCCCTTAGAGCGAATCCAACTGGTGTATAAGACCTCGGCTAACTCTGGTGCCTTTGCGTGATAGCGGCAAGGCAAAAACATGGCGTACTTGGTGAGGCGGTCGACGACCGTGAGGATCCCATCAATGCTGGTCTTGTGCTTCGGGAAGGGGCCGATGATATCCATAGCAATCGCTTCCCGTTGCCCAAGGGGCACTGGTAGTGGGTGTAGCTCGCAGAACGGACGATGGTTTCGTGACTTGCAACGCCGACAGACTTCGCATGACTCACAATAGCGGGTGGCATCCTTGAGAAGGTCGGGCCAATAGAAACGCTGGCGAAGTCGGCCAAGTGTACGGTTGACACCAAAATGTCCGGAGGCGGGCACATCGTGAAACTCGCCAAGAAGCCGTGTGCAGAAGTGTGAATCACTCGGCACACAAAGAAGATCCTTACCCCGTGAATGCACAAGCAAGTAGCCCTCTTGGATCCGATAATGCGAAGGCACCGGATTCGGAGAGGAGCAATTCGCGTACTTGACGCGAAAGTGGGGGTCGGCTTGATAGCCGCGGATGAAACTCTCCCGCAAGTCGTCGTCCATCTCGAAGGTAGAGTAGACTGCGGTGCAAAGATCCGGTCGCCGTGAGAGGGCGTCCGCAAAACAGTTTGACTTCCCGAGAATGTGATTGGGGAAAAAGTCCAACTGGTCGATGAAAGCCATCCATCGGGCAATGGTACTATTAATCGTGTCTTGTGACTTGTAGAATACCAACGGATTGTTATCCGTTACCCATCGGAATGCTTGCCGACCAAGGAGGAAATGCCGCCAACGCTTGAGGGCGTGGACGAAGGCAAGAAGCTCCTTCTTTCGTGCGTCGTCGATCGAATGCACGGGAGGCACTTTCTTGCTAAAGTACTCGACCGGGTGCCAGTCTGTGCCATCGTGCTGCTCAAGGACGGCCCCAATGCCATAGCCCGACGCATCGGTAGTGACGCGCATAGCTAGAAGCGGGTCGTAAATATGTAACACCTCGGCGGACAAAAGTGTCGCTTTGAGTGTTTCAAAAGAATGGCGCGCATCGTCGTCGAAGTCAAAAGGCCGCTCCTCACTTTGTAACTTGCTTAGGTTGGCCGCGATCTTCGAGTAACCCTTGATGAAGCGCTGGTAATATCCGGCCAAGCCGAGGACGGATCGGAGGTCCGTCACATTCTTCAGCTCGGGCCACTCCTGGATGGCTTGAATCTTGTCCGCCAACGGACGAATGCCTTCCGGGGATACCAAATGGCCCAAGTATTCAAACTCTTGCCAGACAAACTCGCATTTGTCGCGGTTCGCTTTGTACCGGGCTGACCGAAGAGTCTCTAGAACACGACGAAGGTGCTCGAGATGCTCCTCGAGAGTTCGGCTATAGACGAGGATGTCGTCTAAGTAGACCAAGACAAATCGGTCCAACATAGCGCGAAACTCGGTGGTCATGGCCGCCTGAAAGGTGGCCGGGGCATTGGTGAGGCCAAAAGGCAAAACTACCCACTCAAAATGCCCATATCACGTTTTAAACGCGGTTTTGTACCGATCTTGCGGGCGGATGGAAATCTGATGATAGCCCGACTTGAGGTCCAACTTCGAAAAATACTTAGCGCCGCCCAAACGCTCAAGCAAATCGTCAATGTGAGGAAGAGGCCCCGCGTTCTTGATGGTTTGCGAGTTGAGGCGTCGATAGTCAATACAAAGTCGAAGGTCCTTGTTCTTCTTCCGAACRAAGAGAACGGGCGCACCGTAAGGTGAGCTGCTAGGGCGGATCCAACCCTTGTCAAGTAGATCGTTGAGTTGCGCACGGAGAACCGTGAGCTCCTCCTCGGACATGCGATAAATGCATCCCTTCGGTGGCACGGCGCCGGCCTCGAGTATGATCTCGTGAGAGATYGGCCGGTCCGGCACTATACCGGAGGGTGTCTCAAAAACATCCGAGAACTCGTCTAACAACCGGGTCACACGGGGGTCGGAAGACAAATCCGTGGACGATGAGTCGGCCGTCGGGACAGTTCGAAGGAAAGCGATGCCAATCTCTTCGACATGCTCGAAACAGCATGTGTCTCAAAAAGATTTGGCACTCACGACTTGGCACCGAATGGAAGAGCGAGGAGGAATAGTACACGGGACCTCGACGCCAGTGGCATCACGAATCGTGAGCGTGCGTCGATGGAAATTGACCGTGTGGTCCGCGCTAGAAAGCCAAGGCATCCCCAAAATGACATCGAAGTCCGTGTCCAACACGTTAAAAGTGACGGGTTCACATGCGTGCGGTGCAAAGTACACCCGGACAGCCGAGATGTAACGGTCTAAGAGCTGTTTCGTCTTACCGTCGGCAAGAGCGACCGTCGTTGGATGTGACTTCCTCCGTACTTGTGCCCCAAGGCCAGCCCGAGTCATGAAGGACTGGCTGGATGAAGTTGCGAGTTGCGCCGCAATCCAGCAAAGCGTTGCAGGCCGCTTGCCCAATTTGAATGCAGACGTAGAGCAATGGTGCGTTGTTTTCTTCGTACCGTTGCGAGACAAACTCGTGGGCCACCTTGGCAACATAGCCAAGCATGTCCCCCACCGCGACTTCGTCTACCGTCGKCGAAGTTGGTGGTGCATGGAAGGAAAGATACTCGTGTAAGAGGGCGCATAGGGTTGCGCTTTGCGGCCCCGAAAGGTTGCCCGTCGTAGGGAGAGGAAYCCAAGCGAAGTCCTCGGGCGTGAGCGGGTCCAAAGCCTCCTCGTTGAACATGCTTGCCAAATCCCTTGATGAAGACGAAGTGGCGGACGAACCTCCGGACGGTGAGATAGCCGCACATGTATCTTGTCCTTGAGAAGCATCCAGTGAAGGAACGAGCCGGGCAGCGAAGTCTTCGAACGACAGTGGAAGACTCCTGACATCCGCATATGCCTCGGAAGAAAGGGCGGTTGTGCGCACAACCGCTTCTGATGGCGTCGAGGGAGGTGTCGAGTCACCCTCGGCGGCGCCTACTTTCCATTCGTGCAGCATCGTGCATGGTGCTGTTGCACCAAAGACAATATCGGTACTTGAGTCTCGTGTGATAGCCATTCGCAGAGAGTCCGTATTGTGTCCAAGGTTCGTCGGCTGCTGATCCGGTGCCCGGTGTAGAGGTGGACTGAGTCTTCGTCTTGTCGCGGCCGTGGTTGTTGCACGGCCGGCCACCATCCCGGGCAGCTGCCAACACTTCACCCTCGGCCGACGTTGCGGGCTTCTACATTCGTGAGAATGATCCGTGACGCTGTGCTAAAAAGCTTGTCCGACGTGTCGAGTGTCTCTGCAATCTGCGTCAACGTGTTTTGCAGAGCTGGACACGAGCGCATGATAAACAAGTGCTTGACGCCGCGGAATGCAAGCGGCAGGTCGGGTGTGGAGGCGAGTCTTTGGAACTCGGTAATCCCGTCCTGACTGAGCAGCGTGTTCTGATGGAGCTTGTTGAGCTTCTCCATCGCTTGCAAGTCAGGCGGCTCCACTTGGAATCGCTTGTGCCAGGCGTCAGTCAACTCCTGCCAAGTGAGCTTGGTGTGCAGTTCCGACACTGCTACGCCGTGGCTGGTCAATATGTTGTCCACCCATGCTTGACATGCACCACCAGATCGGTGGTACAAGCACGGATGTCGATCGTTGTTCGGGACATGGTGCATGTCGAGCCTGGGAGTAAACTGGCGCCACCACGGGATCGGTTCCGTCTTGAACTGATCGCAGACAACTGGAATGTCATCCAGTTTGGGTGGGCGTCGGGAGGATGCGGCCGCGGGCGTCACGGTAGCAGCAGCCTGGACCTGCGTCTCCAACTGCAAGTTCGTTGCTTGCTGCGACGTCCGGAAGTCCTGATGCACACGCTTGATGTTGCTGACGTCATCCTCCAAAACTTGAACGCGGGTGGCAAGGTTGGAAGGCCCTGCGGCTGCTACAGCAGCTGGCTGTTTCTCCAACGCCTGCAGTCGTGTAACCATCTGGTCCACTGTCTGCTGCAGGTGAAGGATTTCCTCCTGCTGCAGAGCGCAGGTGGCCACGAGGTCATGGGAGATCTGCGCCACGGCCGACAGCCCTTTGTCAGTCTCCGGGGCCCCGTCTGCAGATGCCATTTCCACCCAATGTGCGGTCTCGTCGCCGATCACGATCTCCCGCGTGAACAGTCGTTCCCGCTGGCGTGACCGGTGTTCAGCTGCAGCCTGCAGGTCTGCCTCCTCTTGACGAAGTCGGTCCTGTTCCTCCTCCTGTCGCTTGGCCTCTTCCACTTGCTCGATCTGGTTACGTTCCTTGGCCGCCGCGGCGGCCCTATCGTTGGCCTCCTGGATGANTTACGTTCCTTGGCCGCCGCGGCGGCCCTATCGTTGGCCTCCTGGATGAATGCCGCCAGGCGTTCCTCATAGGCCAGGAGGGATTCTCCCGCCTTTCGGTCCATGGCCTTGGTCTGTGATCGAGTGAGCAGTGGCATGCACTGTCGTGCCCGAACTCTGAAGAGTCACCCGTGTGCCAAACAGCAGTACCCGGACTGGAGGGGGAGGAACAGGTAGGCAGCAGGCAAGTGGGAAGGATCGGACAGATCCCAAATTGAACAGTTTTCCTAATCAAGATTTTTTTTTTTTTTTTGATATAGACATTAACATAAATCAAAAACACAAAAAAAATGGACTGTTCAACCCCACGGCGTACCGAAGGTGATGCAGAAAGCAATGTGGACCCTCGGTGCCCAACTGCAGGCTAATCAAAGAAGAAACTTTACAAACTCAGAGTAGGAGTAGGTTGCAAAAAAAGAAAATTGCCGGTTTTTTTTTTTTTTTTGAAAAAAAGAACGGAATTTGCAGACCTACGCAGTGAAAGTGTAGAGGTGGTTGATTTCGGAAAAAAAAAAAAAAAAAGAAGAAAAGAGAAAAAAACAAGTGTAGAGGGACAGTTTCAAAAGAATCACGAAATTGTCAAAATGCAGACAATATTTAACAAAAAAAGAAAAAAAATTCTCGAAAAAAGTATTCTCGGAAAGAAAACAATTTCTCGGAAAAGATTTTCTTGGAAAAAGAAAAAAAAATAATTTCTCGAAAAAAGAAATTCTCGGAAAAAATAATTTCTCGAAAAAAATAATTAAATAATTAATTCCGGGAGATTTCCAAGATTAAATAAGAAATTGCCAAATAATCAATCAACTTAATTAATCAATCAATCAATCAATCAATCAATCAGTCAATCAGTCAATCTCAGATGATTGCTGGTTGATTGATCGATTGTTCAATCGATCTCCTGATTGGTTGATCAATCAATCGAAGATTGATTGGTGGCAATCTGCCGATCCAATCAATCAATCGATTGATTGGTTGTTGCCAAGATTCACTGCAACAGCTCCGATACCACTTGTAGCATATCAGGAAGTGAAATGCACCGAGAGCCTAAGATCTAGCAATGATGAAAGTGGCAACAACCGGCAGCACAGATGCAACATTCACAAGATGCCAATGTGCACAATGCAAAGAGTAAGCCAACGAGAAATCAACAACAACACATTTGTATCATCATCATGGGCTGGGAAGCAGCACAGCGGAAGTCTTAGTAACCAAAGGACACGAGAACAGACAAACATGAAAGAGGGAAACTTCGGAAGGGCAAGACATCAGAAAGATTGCCCTTCCGCTCACACACATGGGGAGAGATCCATAGACATGCGAGAGAGATCTCTGAATGTCGCACACAGTTCGATCCCAATGTAGAGTACAAGTCCGATCCGAATGTCGTGTCCAATAAGGCAGAATGTCGTGGCCAAACAATGTCTGCAGTTACCTCTATCTCTACTCTGATGAAGAAGAAGAAGAAGAAGAAGAAGAAGAAGAAGAAGAAGAAGAAGAAGAAGAAAAAGAAGAAGCTCGGAGGAGTAGGAGGAGAAGAGAAGAAGAAGAAGAAGAAGAAGAAAGCTAGGCGCTTTCTGCACTTACCTGGCGGATGGCTGAACTGCAGGTACCGCGAAGCCAGCTATGGCGCTGGTACAGGTAAGTCCTCTTTCCTCTCTCTCTCTCTCTCTAACTAACTCCTCTAACTCTCTCTGGCGCTGGGCTCCTCCAGCGCTGCACTTAGTGCAGCAGCATCTCCCAAGAGCGCAGCTTCCCTCCAGCTAGCGCAGCAGAACAGCGCAGCGAAATAGCGCAGCCAAAAATAGCGCAGCAGCAGTTCTCCAAAATAGCGCAGCAGGTGGACCTCTGAACCAGCATAACGCTGGGATTTCTCCTCGTACCTTCTGTCCAGAACTGGGCGCTGGCCCAGCTTAAGTAGCGCTGGGCCAGACCCAGTGAGTCCACGGCCTCCGTTCTGGACCGTGTAGATCTAAACTTCGATCCACGGTCCAGATCGCAGGCTTCGAATCTGGGTTCAGTCCTTGGCCTAAAACGGCCTGCCTGGGTCCCTACCGGACGTCCAGGCCCTGCCCAGGACTGGGCCTGTTTGGTACCTGGTCCGATTCAGGGCCTGTGCGAATGCATCGGCCTGAACGTCGGTCCAGGTCCGAATGGTCCGAAATCTGTCCGGAAACAAAAAGAAGGTCCAAACGTTTTTTTTTAGAGGCTCAGCCTCTGGGCCTGAATCTGGCCCTGGCCCTAAAACGTGTACCTGGCCACAAAACGGACAACAGCACACACGTTAGAAAAACAGCAGCAATAAATAAATAAAAGAATATAAAAATAAT